GCATCCGCGGGGGGAAACAGCGGGCACGTCGTTCCTCCGGCAGCTCCCGTAAACGCCAGGAACTCTCCGGGCTTTTTAATTCCGATTCCGAAACCGCTCGGGGTCTTCTTCACACAGCTGGCGTCGAGGTACCGGGCGGTACTCCTCCCTCCCACCGGCGCTTCTTGCGGGTGACTGGTAGGAGGCTGCCAAAGGAATCGCAGAGCAAACGGGTTGCTTCGCGCTCGAAGATCCTCTGACCAAACCTCGCGCCCCGATAACCTGGTTTAGGCATCTGCCAAAGAAACCCGAAACAAAAATAAACCAAATCTGTACCGAAGCTTCGGAGGTAACTCTTTTCTGCGTTTCAGTAATATGCTCGACCTCAATACCTATTAGCTTCTGTTTAAGTGCCCGTGGAAAAAGATGAACACCCCCAGTACTGTAGTCTCTGAGCTGTGCCTCTAAGAAGTACTCGGAAGCATGGAGAGAAAAGGCTTGAAAATGTTTGGAAAACTTGTGACGATGATCGATCACGTCTATCGAATCACGTGAAATTAAATATCACGTAAAATAAAGGACACCTTCTGTAGTTTTACTGAAGTTGCTTGGCGGTTTGTTGTTTCGGTCTTTCTTCTAGCTTAAATGTTCAGTACATTGTATCCTGTAAATTAACCCATTAAGTTGAAATTAGTTGGTCAGCTGTAGGTATGGAGCTTTCAGTGACGCGGCTACTCCTCTCCCGTATGAAAGATTAGGGGGGGTTATTTGGTGCTACAAAAAGACAGTCCTGTAACAATTAATAAAGCCCAATTTATCATCCTGTCAGCTCAGCACTGAGACAGTAATACAGGACTTCCTTTCCTGACAAATAATCAAAAGAGGTTTCACTTTCAGCTGTAGATTCTTTTTGTAATCAATACCTGCTCTTATTTTTTTAACACGCCTAGCTTTACAGAAAACACTTACTGCTTTCAGTTGCTTTTTTCTTTGCAGTTTTTCCAGAATAGAATTTTTCACTTGCAACAAAGGCTTTCCCACCCCTATAGAGATGAGAATGGGTTCTGTTAAAGAATCACTTGGATTCTTGCTGCAATCTTAAAAGTTGTTTCAGAGACTTACACATTTCATCAGGAAATGGGAAAAAAACCCAAACAAACCCAATACATTTGGACAAGTGGGAATCAGGTAGCCTTAGAACATTGTGTCTGGTTTAAATCAGAGATTTGACACCAGTCCGGGTTCAAAGTCTTTTCTGACACCATTGACTATTTGTAAAAATGATCACCTCACCTTCAGTTTTCGTGGACAGCCTCTGTGTATCAGAGAGGCAGCTTTCAGAAGCTGCATCTTGGAAAGAACAGACAAAGAGTATACTCTATTGCCTTCTTATTCTAACAGAAAGTCCATTAATATACTACTGAGAAGTGACAACCAGGAGCTCAAACTTTGACAGCTTGTGCCTTGAGTTTAGTGCCTTGACACTGTCTGGCTGCAGTATTCCTTCCTTTGTACATTTCAGAAAGACTAAATTCTGGTACATCAAGTGTACCTAAGTAATCAGTTCTTCTGAAGTCAAAATCCTGCCTGTGACATCAGAATTAGCTTCCAAGAAATTGGTGTGATGTGACAGGGAGGATTATGACTTCAAGTAGGAATTAAGTAGCAGGGACTCAAATGAGACAAAAATCCTATTTTCAAGCAAAGAAAATAAATCCTAGTAATTGTAGGAAAAGAAGAAGATGGTACTAAAGGGAATGCACAATGGACTCTAATATGAGCTTTTTCTTAATTCTTTCCGAAGTCATGAGGCACGAAGAACTCTCTAAGTATTAAGGAAGATAATAGCTATGATGCATAAGTTTATATTAATGCATTTAATTTTTTCTTTCATATTTTTAGAAGTATTTAGAATGTTTGATACCAAGAATTTTCTTTACAGACTGAATGTACATGTACATCCCCTCTTCCTAATTCCTCTAGTACTAAGCCAGTGGTCTTTGCTTGAGAAAGGGACACTACAAATATTTAAAGCCACCTTGTAAGCCTTATCCTCAAGATTCAGCTATACGTCTGACTTTTTCCCTTCCTTCCTCTTTACTCTAGAAGATAATTTCACAGTTCCTGCATTCTTATACTAATATGTTTGTACACTCAATGCCAAATGCATAAAATCATGCAGAGATAACTGGTTTCTGAATATATGCTATTTTCCCCCTTCTGGATTAGTAAGAATAGCTTCAATAAAAAAACCAAAACATATATTTATCTACTATTCAGTCAAACAATGCAAAGAGCTTTTTTTTTTTTAAAATTTATAGGAACCAAAATTACTTATTCTTCTTCAAGATAACAAAAGTGTCGTCCAAAAACCACTCTGGTTGTTACTAGCAGAATATTCCACTGATCTGCCTCTTCTACCTCATGTATTGCTTGCTGGAAGGTCTGAGTGCTTCTCAGTCTGAGCAAAAGAGGTCTGGGGTTTTGGTGTTTTGTTTTGAGGGTTTCTCTTCAATGGAGGGAACATTCCTGAGGCCTTCTAAGTAGAAGGCTGGTTTAAGGATTTCTAGAGTGCTGATCACAGCCCCGCTGAAGAACTGGCTCACGAGATTAAGAATGTGTCTCACGGAGGAAAATGTTTGATTATATAATGCAAATAAAAAAAATATTGCTTTGCTCAAACATGCAATCAACATGAATATATATAGTCATAGTCTGCAGTTTCCTTGCCTTCATAGATTTGTCTTGTCTAAATCTAGCTGCTTTTTGTACTATGATCCAGACAGAATAAGTGGGAGGCTTTTGATACGGGCATAATTTTCCAAAGACAAAAAGCCATCTTTCTGGGAGTTTGCTAAAATGGGCTCAGGTCACACTGCAGTGCAAGTGCTTGTCGTCCTTCCTTCTATATGGAGAAATGGATTGCTCTGGACGTTAAAAAATGACCTCTCACTGGTCAAGGATTAAGATACACTGTGGGGGAAGTGCACAATATGCACCACTTCTTTTAAATTCTGAAGCCAACCTGAGAGTTAGTGTAGCCATCATTAACCTAAAAAAAGACCCTTAATTCTGTGGAAAAGATTTTTATGCATTTATTACAGATTTAGTGGATGGAAGAGGAAGGCAGAGCTATCAGCACTGTGGTTTCTGTTTTTCTTAAAGTGATGTTAAGTCAGTACTTGGAATCATCTCAAGAAAACCTCACATTCTTCCAAAGAAGGGGCTGATTGAATCTCAAATATTTGTACTTTATCTGCTCTAAACCAACAAATACTGATTTAGTAATTATATATGTTTTTCTTGATCTACAGGATATTATATAAAAGATTAGTTCTATTAAACTATGTATTAGTCATATCAAGCTCTGGGAATTCCTCTTCAAATTAGTGATATTTTACCCATCAATGAAATGTTAAATAAAAACTCTTGAACTTTACTTTAGATAAATACGTATTTCTCATTTTGGATTCATGTTTCGGCTCATACAGCATCTTCAAAGGAATAGTTGTTTCGTCTATATGATGAGGCCCAATTTCAACCAATTTAGCTTTAGGCACCTGTGCTACCTAATTAAGAGCCTGCTCACCCTGACTTCCTAGAGTCAACAGCGAGAGGAACAACTCCAGAGAGCAATCCATCCTAGCTACAATCTCAGTGTACGTAGGCAGGTGTCCGCTCACTGTAAAAGGAAGGCTGGGATGACTGTGGTCCTTAAGTTAGGAGCCTTAGATTCTTTAAATTTGGCAGGATGATCCTGAGAGTGACAGCCTGAGCCACTCTGCTAAGTCAATGGGAAAACTACCCTGGACTTCAAGTATCTTTAAGGTCACATCCTTCAAAAGAGAAACTAAGAGTGAATTAATGCAGAAAACTAATTAGCCACTAGAGTTCATACTCCTGGTTGTGCTGCAACACTTTGGGAAGTCTTCTTTGACAAGGATGCCTCTTGTCAGTCTTACTCTGTGTCGCTGTAGCCACATTTCTAATCACATGCAGAATCTCCAGTATCATGAGATACTCACCTTTCACTCCACAAGCACTTAATAAAAGACAAAAAACAGTAAGAAACCCTCTTAGAATGTGCAGCATCATGGATTAGAAACAGTGTCTCCTCATACTAAGTGTGAGATGCTACTAAAGTACTTAGTTCTGACAAA